CATCACCCTCTCCTATATGGACGACTCTGCTATTGACAATTAGGAGGTATCTGTTTCTCAGACCACAATATGATATTCTTTCAGGTGACAAAATGCGGTGTCAGATAAAAATGTTATAGGAACCCAAAAAAGGACAGATTGGGACAAATTCAAATCCCTTATATTTCAAGGATCCTCGAGGTCTGAAATCAACCGGACGAGACAATAGTGAATGTTGTAACAAGTGTTCTTCTTTCTGGCGATAAGAAATCTTGTCCAACAACCTACCCTCGGAGGAAATCCCAAGAAATTTTCTGAAGAAGAAATTTAGCTGAATTGAGATTTTCAGTGGAAGAAATGTTGAGATGGGCAGACTATATGATACCCTACATATTTTTTAATAGGGCAAAGGCATTTCGGGACTCTATAAGATACCTGGTACCAAATATCATTCTTGTGGGATGCTTATTAATAATGTGAGGGACTTAAACACCAATTCGGATGAAACATATATATGGGAGCTATAGCTATATCTGAACCGATTTTCATAAATTTTGCTTCTAGACTAAATTCGGTTGGATGTGCCAAAATTAAGGTCTTTTGGTGCGCAATCAACCCGAAATCGGTTGAAGATATATATGGGAGCTAAATTCAAATCTGAACCGATCTTGATATAATTTTGTAGAGGTATTTCTGGGCTGTATCTGATATCCAGTATCAAATATCATTCTTGTGGGGGACATATTACCCCAAATCAGACGAAACATATATGGGGAACTATAGCTATATCTGAACCGATTTTCTCAAAATTTATGTACTTACTTCTAGACTTTGGTTGTGCCAAAATGTAGGTCATTTGGACTGATATTGGTCATTTGGTGCACAATTAACCCGAAATCGGTTGAAGCTATATATATGGGAGCTATATCTAAATCTGAACCGATTCTCACCAACTTCAATAGGGTTCGTCCTTGGGCCAAACAAGTGTTGTATAGAAAATTTCATCTCAATCTGATAATAAATGCGACCTGCATTTTTGTTCACAAAAATACATGGACAGACGGACGGACGTACTGACACGCATAAGTCGACTCAGAAAGTAATTCTATGATGATCCTCAAAAGTATCTTAGGGGTTATCTCGTTTCCTTCTCCATGGCAATTTTCTGTCATAGGCTGTAGTATCCATTACGAACTTCAAATACGAGATTTGAAACGATTCCGGTAATAAGTGTCGCTAAAATCATCAAAATACCGACTATAGTGAGGTATCTTTATATGGGGACTATACGTAGACGTGGACCTGCAGACGAAATTTTTTGTCATAGATTGTAGCATCCATTGCGAACTTCAACTACGAAATTTGAAACAATTCCGGTAAATAATATCGGTAAAATAGTCAAAATACCGAATATTGGGAGGTACCGTTGTATGGGGCATATATGAAAACGTTGACCGAGATGGCCCATTTACGAACTTAACCTGCCTACTGGCGAAATACACGTGTGTGCAAAATTTTAACCTACTTTCTCAATTCGTTTCAAAGATTGCGTGATGAGAACAGACAGACAGACGTCGCTAAATCGACTTAGAATTTAACGCTGATCCTGAATATATAAATATACTTTGTTGGGTCTGACATGAGTATTTCGAGGAGTTACAAACGGAATGACAAAGTTAATATATCCTCCATAGAATGGTGGAGGGTATAAAAACGCTAAATTGTCCATACACGTGTTAAATACCCAACAAATTTGAATTGAATTGAAAACTGAAGGATGACATGATTTTTTCAACATAAAAACGATGCGGAACTCAGCTCTTACCCTTGAAAATTATTGCTCTTAAAAATTCCTCCCGAATTACAGAACATCTTTGCCTTGAGTTTCCCCTCTTCAAATTCCAGTAAATTAATTATTTTAACCTCCTATGAGTCACTGTACCTTGTTGCCTGTCCCACATAGACTATTTTTAGCTACGTCACCATATTCTGTTCTCTGAGTTTTTTTTCGCCACAAGAGCAATAACGAAAAAAGGATGTGGCTGGCAGCAATCAACCAGGTGGTGGTAACGTTGTTAGTCTGTTCAACGAATTGAAAACATTATGCGATAGCTACAATTACGTGTTTCTACACACACACATAAACACCTTTACATGGATGCATTGCGAATAACACCAAAAACACCCGCACACATATGCATTTCGTACCAACCAATATGCATAACATGCACCCCATTTAAATTTCGGTGTTTGTGTGACTCTCCACTCTCTAAACGAAGCTTTAGACAATGGGAGCTGAATAGAGAAAAAAGAACTTAAAACACGGTGACAGCAGTTTCATTCCCGCAACTACATGCAACACACTTACACACATTCATACTCACACACACATAACCCCCTTCACACTTGAGATGACGACAACATCATTAAATGTGCTAAATTTAGTTACGCGAAAAAAGGATTGGGAGGGGACATTAAGGAGAAGAGAGAGAGAGAGAGAGAGCAGAGACACCCAATTGCCGACATGTGGCGAAAAAGCACCGAAATGTCATTCATGCTCAAAAGTAAACAAACTCTTAATTAGGGTCAAGTGCAAAAAGAGAGACATTTATTATTTTGCTTTTGTGCTCAGTTCATCTCTTAACGGTGTTAAGAGTGGGCATTGATATTCATTTGAGGGAAAGAAAGAGTTTAGTTCCCATTCTCTTATTAATTGTTGATTGGTTTTATTTGGTAATTTAAAGGGGTCTTTGTTATGACTGGAAATTGAAAAAAAAAAATAATAATATTAATTTTTTTAAGGATTAACGAGAAAGGTTTTGGAATGTATAAAGGAGTAAATAATTTTGAGGTGAAAGAAACTTTGGAAATAGTTGTTTGGAGAATACAGCAGAAATAGGTTTTCAATACTTCTAGTTTTGCCATAGTAGCGATATTGCTGGGACCATTTCTATAAATTTTAATTATAAATTAAATTAAATTATTAAATTATAAACTTTTTATATGGAAGTAAAAAAAATATATATACAAAATCCCTTTTTACGTTTGTTTCTATTGAAAAATTTTCAGTTTACATTTTCAAAATCTTCCCAATCTTTACTCTCTATTTACATGTTTTTTCAATGGGTCTCAATTTTGAGTGTGGAGAGAATTACGCTCATTGAAGTAACGTGGGGCTGCGTTTGCCGGGCCCTGTTGTAAAGAGAAAAGAATTATATTTTGTGTTTTCATTTCATAGCATACTTTTAGGCGTTGTTAATATTTTTAACATTACCTTACGTATGATTTATATTAAAACAAATATTTCAAAACACGTATACGTCAGGGGGGGGGGGGTGCCCATACAACAGGGATATTTTGCAGAACTTTGATTTTCTATTGGAAAAACTTTGGTGAATTGATATTTTCTATTAAATCGAGTTAAATAGAGTTTTCATATGAAACTCAAATATGTTTTTCTGTAGAAAAAAATTAGCTGCAAAACAAGAAGATAGATAAAATTGCATAGAATTAGAACTAATTGCCTAAATGATGATTTGCATTATTTTTTTTTAAATGTTGACCCTTAGTGGGGGGGGGGAGTGGTTTACGAAGAGGTAGGGAAATATATTCCCTTTCACATCTTAACAAACTCTGATGTATATATGTTTATTTCGCCTTTTGTGATGGTTTTGGATACTCAAAATGCTGACTATTCAAAATTTTCACCCTTTGTGGGGGAGTTAACAGAAGCAATGATCGGTTATATTCCATTTTCACATCAGATATAGAGTTGGTAAAAATATTGGCACGTGTGAAGTTTGAAAAGAATCGAAAGCTTATTTCATAATTTATGAGCCGTTTTGATTATTCGAAATTTCGATCCTTTGTGAGGGAGGTGCCAGAATGAGTTGTCCAATCTATCCCATCTTCACACCAAATATTGTGCTGGTAGAAATATTTGGATGTGCGGAGTGTGAAAAAAATTGAAAGCATATTTCGTATTTTATGAGCCTTTTTGATTATTCGAAATTCTGACCCTTTGTGGGGGATGTATTAGGAGAAGTGAACTTTTTTATTCCATTTCCACACCAGATATAAAGTTGGTAAAAATATTGAGACTTGTGAAGTTTGAAAAGAATTGAAAGCTTATTTCGTATTTTTGGAGCCTTTTTGGTTATTCGAAACTTCGACCCCTTGTGAGGGAAATACCATAATAGGTGGTCCGATCTAACCCATCTTCACACCAGATCTTCTGTTAATAGAAATATTACGATGTACCAAGTTTGAAAAGAATCGAATGCTTATTTTGCTTTTTGCGAGGGTTATGATTATTCAAATTGTTAACCCTTTGTGGGGGAGGTACCAGAAGCAGTTGGACGATTTTTTTCATTTTCATACCTGAAGTAGCATTGATACAAATATTAGGATTTGCAAAATTTAAAGAAAATTGGATGATCCTCTCGTGCTTTATGAGATAAATTATTTTATTTGATAGTTTCGACCTTTTGTAGGAGAGGTATCAGAAGGAGTGGATCGATATTGTCCATCTCCAAACTCGACCTAAGTCTGATAATAATATTACGATGTACCAAATGTAGACAAAATCGAGTACTCCCTTCCAGAGTTGTCTTAGGCACCAGCCAGACCGACGGACGAACAGACACCCCAAATAATATAACGATGTACTAAATTTGGACAGAATCAAGTACTTTCTTCTAGAGTTGTCTGAGGCACCAGCCACCCCAAATTGACTCTAAATGTCTTTAAACTAATTTCGTCCGAAGAGACCTCTGGGGTCTTAAACCATTATTTCGATGAGGAATGTTTAAACCTTATCAAATGATGTATATCCTCTATAGAGAGACACATAAATTGTCAATTGTTGTCATTGAAAAAAATTGTACCTCGCTCTGACTTTTCCATCCCTGATCCACATAAGAAGCAAGAAGCGGCAACAACACTAAATTGTCATTTTTTCTTTGCGGTTGACAATTTTCTCAATTTCTCTTAGAATTTTGCCAATTGCCACGATAAGCGGATCAGTCAAATTTTAGAGGTCTAGATGCGCAAACCGCAGAAAGAGGTCCAAGACAGAAACGCGATCGATCGAACGAACGGAAAACATTGACATTAGAAAAGCAAAAAAAAAAAAAAATAAAATTATAAAAATATATATTTGTGTGTTTGTATGTTCTGTACGAAAATATACATACTTATGTGCGTGAAAAGTTTATTTTTCCATGGAATAAAAATAAATAAATAACCAATTTCAAGAAAATCGAAAGTCATAAATAAAGTGAATATCAAAATAAAATAAAAAATTGCTTTAAACCCCGAAATTCATAAAACACGCGTTTTACCCCTCCATTGTGAACCGTTACAAAACGTAAAACTCTATGAATTACTACTACTCTGTATGTATGAATTGTGAGCGGGGAAGTTGGGAAGTGTGGGTGGGGGTTGTGTGAAACGCAAAAACAAAAAAACGAAGAGTTCCAATGAATAACAGCTGTTCCAAACCGGTGAACTTGTGTTTTGTTTCTTTTGTGTCTTCATAATAGTCTGCATAGCCAACACCACGCATCATTTCACACACACACACATGCACAAGTCATGGAAAATCAGAATTTCCACAAAGGAGGCACCTGAGGTTTCGTTTCTTTACTTTTGTGGCATATTTTGTGTGTTGGAAGAAAAAAAAACTACCGTTTTTTTATAACAAAAAAAGAAAAAATCAAACGCATCATCACCATCATCTGTTCAAATCTATTTTTAAACACTTTGTTTTTGTTCTATACACGAGACCAGCAACAACAACAGCAAGAGGGAAATATGTGTGTCCACGTATAGGCAGTCGGTCGGTCGGGCACTTGGCTTGATGGCTGAAATTCTATGGTCCAAATGTTGTTGCACATCCAAGGTCAAGGGCTTTGTCGTCAGAATTGTCTAGGCAAAACAAATATAGCAGCAGCAGCAACAACAACAACAATTTAACAAAAATTTAGAAAAGAAAAAAAATATAAATTGCAACAACACACCCCAAATAAAAATGCAACAAACAAATAAAAACAAATCTTGGCCATTCACTCATTAACAAAACAAGACAAAAAAAAAAGACACAGCAACAAAAACAAATCAAAATTTAGTTCTCTTCTTTTTTCTGTTATGTTGCTCTTTGTTGCTCATCAACATCATGAAAGTGTTTTTCTCGGACAACTGTCTCGAACAAACACACGCATATGCACACATAGACCCCTTTCTAACATTGCCGGCGCTCATTTACAGCTCTTTCGACAACAAAAGTTTCATCAACAACAACACTGCTACTACCTTTTTACCCCCACAGAAGAGGAAAAAGAGTCTCGCACTCACACACTCACAGATGTGCACGCACCCTAAACAATGACAAATATTTACAATGTGTTGACGATGGTCTTGCTGGTCCAATAGAGCTATCGGCAATTTGTTATATCTGCTTTATTTGTGAACAAAATAAAGACACAAGAGCACAGTGGGATGAGTTTGAGCAAAAGTGGGGAGATCTTTATTTTTTTTTTGTGGAAAATAAAAAGGAACACAGAAGAATTTCGAATAAAGAATAAAAGGAACAAATAAGAAATGATTTATTCTCAAAGTGTTTATTTTTAATAGGAAAAAAGTAGTTCTCTGAGATTGCGAATTTGTTTCAATAGAATAATTTGGGAAAGAATGTTGTAAGACATTTTTAAAATATGGGGGAATTTCGAAATATGCAATGACTTAGCGCTGGGGGATTAATTTAATTATTCCCGGGGTATTATAAACAAAATTCAAATAAGAGCTATAATTGTGGATTTGGTAAAAACGTTTTTTTTTTCAGAGTAAAATTTTTAGTTTTCCAAAGATTTTTCCCAGAACTTTTGAGGACTCTCAGATCCACATTTGTGGGTTCTGTAAAGAATTTTATAATTGGGATTTCAAAACTTTTTAGAGAATTTCTGAAGGGCTTTTACGATTTTTTTTTCAAGAACTATCAAAGCAATATCTGTGGACTTTTTCAAAGATTTTTTTAAGGAATTTCGAAGTTTGTCAATATCTTTGAGATTTAACATTAATTTAATATTTAGAATAACTTTAGGTATTTCATCTAAGGAATATCGGATTTTATTTATGTTTTATATCTGGAATATTCTGTATTATAATACATTTTATACGGCCATCGAAAAAAACACTTTTAGGCTCCAGGTCGTCCTATTGGACCAAATCCGTTTCAAGACATTTGAAGTCGTCTGCTTGTCTGGTTTGCGCACACGATAAGTCTCGAAGGGAGTATACACAATATTATAATCAAATATGGATCGAGTTCGAACATGGGTAATATTGGCCCAATCCTTCTAATAACTTCCTCAAAAGGTTAACATTTTCAAGAAAAAAAAATAAATAAATAAATAAAACTAAAAAAAACTAACCGAATTTTGTGCAAACTTTGCAAATCTTAAAATTTATATCAGTTCTAGTTTAGGCGCGAAAATCAGCCCACTTCATCAAGTACCTCCCCCACAAAGGGCCAACATTTTGTATAAAATGAGAAAAAAGTATCCGATTTCATTTAAACTTGGCACAATCAAGACTACAGAGGGAATAAATCAAATTTGTATCAGTGCTAGGTTAGGTGCGAAATTAGAGAATATTGAACCACCCCATTAAGTACCTACCCCACAAAGGGTCAAAAATTTGAATAAATAAAAATGTGAAATTAGGGTCTGATTGTTTTTAAATTTCGCAAATCGCAGTATTTTTAGCAGCTCTTTGCCTAGCATGAAGATGGAATGGATTAGAGTATATCTTCTGGCACCTCCCCCAAAAAGGTGTCAAAATTTTTAATACTCATAGCCCTCATAAAATGCAAAATAAGCATTCAATTCTTATCAAACTTGACACACCCCAATATTTCTACCAACACAAGACCTAGTGTAAAGATGGGATAGATCGGACCACTTATTCTGGTACCTCCCCCTAAAGGGCCAATAATTTCAAATAAACGAAACGCTCATTAAATTTGAAATAAGCATCCGATTCTCTTCCAATTTTGAACATTCCAATAATTTTACAAACTCTATGTCTAGTTTGAAAATGGAACATATCAGCCCAGAATTTCTCATACCTGCCCCACAAAGGGGTCAAAATTTTTTGTATCAAAACGCCCATAAAATGTGAAATAAGCTTCTGTTCCTTCCTAAACTTCACATATCCTAATATTTCTACTAATACAAGATCTGGTAAAAAGATGAAATATATCCTCCGACCCCTTATGGTACCTCCCCCACAAAGGGGTCAAATTTTTTATTATTTATAAGCCTTACAAAATGAAAAATGACCATTCGTTTCTCACCAAACTTGACACACCTCAATATTTCTATCAACACAGGATCTGGTGTAAAAATGGGATAAATCGGACCACTTCTTCTGGTACTTCCCCCATAAAGGGGTCAAAATGTTGAATAAATATAACTCTCACAAAATACGAAATAACCTTCAGATCCTCTTCAAATTTCTCACATTCCAATATGTCTACCAACTCTATGTCTAGTATGAAAATGGGATATATAAACCCGCCACTTCTGGAACCTCCCCCACAAAGGGGTCAACATTTTGAATAAACAAAACGCTCACAAAATGCGAAATAAGCATCCGATTCTCTTCAAATTTCACGCATCCTAATATTTTTACCAACGCAAGATCAGGTGCAAAGATCGTAGATATCGGTTTACTTCTTCTGGTACCTCCCCTACAAAGGGTCAACATTTTGAATAAATAAAACGCTCATTAAATGTGAAATAACCATCCGATTCACTTCAAATTCCCTATATTTTTACCAAGGCAAGATCTGGAGTGAAGATGGGATACTCCGATCTTTTCCTTCTGGTACCTCCCCCACAAAGGGTCCAAATTTTAAATAAGCAAAACATTTGAAAAATTCGAAGTAAGTATCCGATTCTCTTCAAACTTCATACATCCCAATATTTCAACTAACACAAGATCTGGTTTTAAGATGGAATATATCAGGCTACCCCTTCTGGTAAATCCCTCAGAAAGGATCACAATTTTCAATACTTATATCTCTCATAACCTGTGAAAGAACTCACACTTTCCAAACTTGGTATATCTAAATATGGAATTTATCCACCCCACTCCTTTTGGTATCTGCCCACAAAAGTTTCAAATTTTGATTAACAATAATTCTCATAAAATAAATACTTAATTTGTTTTCACTTAAAAAAATTCTCCCATTGTGCGTTTTTCGTCTAGGAACAAACAACAATTAAAAATATCTATTTTAAAATCTTCACGCTTTGTTGTTTTTTGTTTTGCATTTTTTTCTGTTAGACTTTGTTATGTGACATTAAGTCTAATGAAGTCAAGCAAACCATAAATCACCGATTACCAACCGTATAGTCATTGGATAATAGCTTTTGTTTTAGTTGTTTAGTTCGGATGCCAAATATCCAAACAAATTTGCCATGCAAAACAAGTAAACTACGCCACCTTCAAATGTTTGGCCCAAATATACCCCTTCTTCTTCTCTATTTACACATTGTAATTTAGTTGACAGCAAAAACAACAATATCAACTAGCCAGCCAATCAAGCGCCAAAAAAGGAGAATGGAAAAAGACCACAACGAGGGAACAAACTTGTTGATCATCTATTGCAGGCATTCCACTCTTCGGTCTCTTCTGTGTTCTCCCTCTCTCTCTCGCAGACAATGAAATGACACAACAAGATGAAAATATTTTGAGATAATTATGGTTATAAGAGATTTGGCTTTTATCAATTAATCAAGAGGATACTTGAGATTTCAAATTTAGATTTGGGTCAGCAGATGAATGGTATATTGGGGTGGGTCGAATGAGAAACTATTTTATTTATAGTAGCCGTTATGCAGGGGTCAAACTCTCCTCTCTTTAGGAAAGTCTCTTAAAAAGAGATATATAGATATATATAGAGAGAGAGTGAGGAGAAAACTAGATTTTATCTAGAAATATTTATGGCTGGGAGAAATAAAATGTCACTGTTCTTGATGGGGCCCATGTTTCTGGTTCAAAAAAATCCTGAAGAATCCACATCTTCATAAATAACACGTTTAATAGTATCAGTCGGATTTGCCGACAGATGTATACCCAATGCCCTGAGTTATGATTATTCTAACTATGGACCTTTTATGTGGGAGGTTCCGAAGCAGTTGGTCAATATTGTCCAAGTCGTATCTGACCTAAATCTGATATAAATATAACAAAGTGCCATAGTTGGACTATATCGTCTACTTCCTACACTTTATATGAGATATGTGGAAATTTGCCTGGGGTACCAGATGTAGCACACTGAAATATTCTATTGCAAATATTGGGATGCACCAAGTCTGAATGGAATCGGATG